GAGCCAGCCTCTAGCGGTCAGTTGATGAATTGCAGTTTTAGTCACTTCCGTGTTGGTTTCACGAGAGAGAAAAACCTTCCGGGAAGGTTGCTGCTTGAAATATGCACATATTTTATTACACAGACGGACGTTTGTGCTGCATGATATATAAAATAAAGTAATATAATTCACTGCTGTATAACAGCGTATTGCAGTTATAATTCAAGATTTTAGCTATTTAGTTGAAGTGACTGCAGGTTACATTTAAGTACTATTTCAGAAACAGAAAATTTGTAAATGAGAACTGCTTTATTGGGCATTTAGTTGTATAAAAATGCAGCACTGTATGCAACAGTTCAGAGAGTAAATGCAAGCACGACCTGATGACGTCATGAATAAGATAATTAAGTATTATAAAGCTGAATTGTTATATAAAGTTATAAGCATGTTTATTAAAAACAAGTTTTGTAATAAAAAAATTTTCGGACCTTTTGACGAACTCCAATTCGGACCTTTGGATGTAAACTTTGAGAACCCCTGATTTATAGTTTAGGTAGGGAGGGAGCTAGAGCAGACAGCAACACAGAAATATGAGTCATAGCCTAATAATAAAATAGTGCGTTCAGTATTAGAATTTTTCAATAAAGACATTGTACTAATTTTGTCATTTAGGCACTTTAAAAAATTTGTTTTAATATATTTGTATAAAAAATAGGTTTTAAGATAAATAACATTCTGTGCAAACAAAGTACAATGAGGTGATTGCTTTGCAACAAGATTCATAACAGTAGAGCTGCTAGTGAAGAAGTGACAAGTACAAGAAAAAAATGCACACATAAAGTACACAAGAAAGAGACAGAGATATTGGGGAAATGAAGAAAAGGGAAGTGAAGGTGCAGTTCAGGAGAGAACCTTTAATTGCTCTACATGGTCCCAGTCTAGAGATTTAGACCTTTCTATGTGATTGCCATACAAATAATAGGGTTGTATGTGATTTCAGAATTTTCTGTGGGTGTTTGGCCTGGATGAGTGTGAGATTTCCCAGCCTGAAATTGTGTCCCAGTTCGGCCCTGGTACATGTTATTTTCACAGAAAATAAACTGTAAATCTGAAAATAATATTTTGAAAAAGAAAAAAAACCTACAACAAAACTGCATTATTTGAGAACTAATGACTTGGAAATTTCCAATAAATACATTTTTTATGTTCCTGCTCAAGCATTAAAAAAGAAAAAGAAAAATATGAATATTAAAAAATATATAAACATAATAAAAAAACACATTTTCCCATAATTGAAAAAAACTGAAAATGTAAATAAAATAAATATACTTACATACAATAAAACTATAAATATAAACATTATAAACAGTGGTGTAGTGCAGTGTATACTGCATATTCCTACTTCTTTACCAGTCAGCATTGCGTATACCCACTTCTAAATCTCCTCTAATGCGCATCATTCAGTAGTGTCCTGCATTAACCAAAATCATGACAGTCCAGCACATGAGTAGTTAATCCAATCGCATGTGAATAAATGCAAATATTCCCTAAAAACACCCAGTAAAGACAGTGATGCGGTCAGGACAGAGGCGTAAACACTCTCATGCAGTGTGTTTCATTCATACGGGAAGCCAGAGGGCGCTCTCGCGCAGAAAGTCCAAAACTGACTCATAAAAGTAATAACTTATGACATGCCAGGAAATCCCTAATATGGAAAAAGGCATCCAGCTATCGTAGCCAAAGCAATCTATGCTGTAGCTATGGTGAATAAGAAAAGAAACATTTTGAAACATGAAGATAATAAACACATGATTGCGTCTCCAGGTAATAAAAAGCATCTGAATAATGCAGTGCTAATTGACATAGCATTTATTACAGTTGGCTATAGAAACTATAAAATATATCTTCTGCCTTATTCTGTGATAAACAGCATACATTAAGAGTACACCCAATTCTCAAGGCACCACTACACCACTGATTATAAAAAATATAATTTTTTTTCAGCTAGATAAAAATAAATGATAAAATCCTGGGATCTTTTTACAGGACTATTGAAAATCTTGGCAGGGCAAGTGAAAATCTGAATTACTGGAACAATTACACCAGCAGAATATGAATATAAAACATACAAATAATCGATAATAAGCATTAGAATGATTACTCTGATTCTTTACGTGGTACATTTTTATAAATGGCAATCATGAGCAAATTGAAGCAGCATTAAGGTTATGATACATGGGGCGAATTTTTGAGCAATGTTGCTGGGCAATGTTGCTATCAACAGGCCACCAGGTGAGACACAGGACCCACGACCAATCTAAAGTATCCAGATTTGTTGCCCATTCTCAAAAAAGTTGCCCCGTGTTTCATCACCTTTAGAACTCGAGTCCAAGAGTCTGAGTCTTTCCCAAATACAAGTATATGTTCAGTGAACAGAAACCTCTGACATGTTAGCGTGTGGTTGATCATGTCAGTGATAGCTCTGGTAATCCGACATAAGAACATGTTTCTGTATAAACAACAGAAAACGAACAGTCTGTATGTTTTATACAAATCACTCAAAGGTTACTGATACAGCCATGCGTTCTGATATCCTGACGAGCTGAGGCTCAGCCAAATGGCTCATAAGCCTCGTAAATGAGAAACACACCGTATCAAAGTGCTGCAAAATATTCTCTTTCTTTTCAACTTGTTTGGCAAGGCTGAACATAATCTTGTTGAACCCTCTTCACTGGCAGAGCACAGGGATTGTATTGCCAAAGTGTAAACTCATTGAAGCAACAATAATGACAAAACAACCTAATCCAACCATAAAACCTTCTCATTTGTGTGCGTTCCAGCTCTTTGCCACACAGATGTGAGGGAAAACACAGATAAACACATAAAACGAATTTGAGTCAAGCAGCGGCAGAGGATTTTCTGAATAGGGAATGAAAGAATAGAGGGGTTACCGCAAGGACTCTGGCAGGCGTTCAAAGAAAAGCCAGTAAAAAAGCTCAAGCTGGATAAATAAATAAGAAAGCTCCCTATCAGATGGGCCTCACGCCACTGCCAGTTCAAAGCTGAGGAGAGTCCGACCGGCTGCACACGTCTGAATGCAACGCTTCATTATGATTCTCACACTCTTTGTGGCCTGCAGGACTCAGAGGCCGACCACAAACTACTGCTCAAGACATATGAAAACACACAAGCAGTGGCAACTCAATTGCGATGCCAGTGCAAATTTCTCATATCTATTTTAATACAATAAAAGTAAAAGTGAATTACAGATTGCAACTCGCTTTTCTTCTTATTTCCAAGTAAAACAGGATATTCAGAAAAACAAAATGTAAGGTAGGTTTTGATCATGAAAAGTGGGTGTTGTGAAGCCAAAGTGGTTTTGCTAAACTGGTTAACATTACCCAACAGCCCGAATGGCCTTAGTGATGTAACCAGAAGCAAAGCCATTTCATAATAATTAAAGATCACAAAGTATTTTTTACCTTTGAAATAAAACTTACCCCTGAATAAACCACAATAAGACAAGGAATGTGCATTAAGAAAAAAATATGGTCAATTTGGATTTTATGTTAACTTTAACATCAAAACTAGTCTTCAATCCACCCGCTTGGATAATGATGCCAGTGTAATTTTTCCCTGCCACGAAATATGAAATGTTTTCTTAAAATATATGTGCAAAGTGCAGCCTAATTATGTTGTTGAAAGTAAAACACACATGGTCTGGGGGACAAAAAGAATTATAAACCCTACAAATCTTCAAACGTTCCATGACATTCCAAAGGAAGCAGTTGGACCCAGGCCATAATACTCAATGTTTTGATTATGAAAAATTGGAGAGGCCTTAAACAGTAGGAGACAGATGGATGCTGAGAGGTCTGAAGTCTGTTCCAGAGAAGACGAGCGAGGTTTAAAAAGTGCGGCGAATTAAAAATAAAAAATAACCCAACACAAAACATAAACAAACATGTCTGTCATCGCTGCGATTCTTCGCAGGCCAGGATGATTAGTGCTGCCAGCTACACAGAGGGACACGCTCCAGTTCTCTCTCTCCCTCGGCTTTTCTCCTCCATGACTGTCTTCAGAGTCCTGTACACTCCTGCCAAAAGCTGCGCCGGTTTCTAGACAGGCAGCCCTCAGACCGAATCTCTGGCAATGAGAATCGGAGGGAAGGAAAAATCAGTGTCAGTTTAAGGGAGGAATTGGCACTGAGCGCCTCAGACACATCTCAGTGTCCAAAAGGACCCGTGAAGCTGAAAACACCAAAACATAAAATGTAAATAAGAGAGGAATATGAGAGCTCCTCATTTCGTTTCCGAAGAAAAAGTAGAAATGCAGATGGAAAATATGATGCAATACAGTGTACTTGAACAACGGTCATTTTCTTTGTGGTGCATGGAGTAAATGTTTGCCATTTTGTAAGGCGATTTCTCAAAAAGTGACACAATAATGAAAAAAAACAAAATCTAATCCAATCATAAAACCATTTTTCACACAAATCTAAGGAAAAATGCAGGTAACATTTACAACGTAAATAAAAGAAGAATTGCTTCTGCAAACAAAGAAGTAGAAATGCAGACGGAAAATATGATGCAATAATGTGTGCTAGTACAACGTCCATTTTCTCTCAAGCGCACCATTTTGTAAAGTGCTCAAACTCTGAAACGCTTCGGTAGCTTTCCTCAGTTGGACTACAACCCGATGTGTGATCTGGACACGCAAGTCTAGTCGATTAGTAACCCGAGAAATATTCTCTGACCTATCAAGAGGACTGCTTCCTTCTCCTTCAACAGAACCATAATTTCTAAGTAATATCTTAAGCATCTTGATGATTTAATGATGATTTAATGGCCCCTCGCTTAAGAACTTTTTGTCCTTGTATGTGTTTTCCATACTAAAACTGTCACTGC